TAACTCACTGAATTCTAATTTATAAACAATCAAAGGCCTAACTTCTTCCACGTGCAATTCAAGTAACCTAGTTAAAATTCTTATAAACTGTAATCATAACTTTTAAATGATCATTATAGTTTAATGGAGAAAAAGAATTTTAAATTAATTCACTAATTCCTTTACCAATCAAATTAAAGATACAAGTGAAAATATGCAAGAGGGAGAGGGGGAGAGAGAGAGAGCCGAGAGCAATACGAACATACTTTAAAATTCGCAATTATTCCAAGAAATTCTCATTTAAAAATAATTTTAATCACCGAATTTTAGAACAGACCGCGTTGCCAGCTAAAGCAATTTAATTATCAAAGAAGCCTTAAAGTTAAATCCAAATTAAACCAATTAGACTCCAAATTAGCAGTTTAAGCATATAAATTAATAAGCTTTCTCGGTTCCTATTTTGGCAACCAACTCAGCAATCACAATTAAAATATTACAAAATTACACTCGAACACCTTTTCTCTTTCTCTTTTTAAAGAAAAATGAAATTCGATGAGTTCAACTGTTCAACGAACCTGGCGAAAAGAAAGATTTCTGCCGAATTCACCGGCGAGTTCCTCGACTCTTTTGATAGCAACGACCGATGAATTCAGATTATCAGCGACGACCACTTTGTATCCGCCTAACAGCAGCTGCAACACTGTGTGGCTTCCTATATACCCGACTCCACGGTCACCAGAATGTTCTTCGACATGATCGATCCAATCAAACCAAATACCAAAACAAAACAGAACAGAACAGAGCAGAGCAGAAAAACGTAAAACCCCAAAGAGAAGATGAAACAGAGAAATAAGCGTTTGGAAGATAAAGAGACTTTCCTTTGAATTAAATGAGAGAAAGAGGAGGGTATTTATAGCAGGAATGAGAGATTTAATGAGGAAAATAAATGAAATTAAATAAAAGTCCAAATCAAAAGGAAAATACGTTTATTGAATAAGAGAGGAATGATGATCCGCCACGTGGAGAGATTTTTCTTTACATTCAACTGCCTATACGTGGCAGTTTTTGATGGGCTTGGACTAAATTAACCTTCTGGTACTTTATTTTCTGTCTTGTTTGCAATCGGATCTTCTGGATGTTTTTGTACTTTTGTTTAATAACTATGCTTATATACAATTTTTTCCAGAGAATTTGGTGAAGCTTTTTGACCTTTCTTTCACTATCGTATCACTTAAAAACTTTAAATTCTTTTTATAATTTATATTTTTAATTTTTATTAAGTATTCAATTTTGTACAACTAAAATTTTATAATTTTTATTCTCTAAATTTTTATTATAATTTCTTAAATTTTGATCCTAATATAAAATCACACATTTATTCAAGTTGTAGTGGTGAAAATTTGGACATTTACAGTGAAATCAGTTTGTAGAAGAGTTAACAGTCAAACAGTTAAAATGAATCAATAAGTTTTAAATTACTAAATATGTTTAATTTTTATTTATTTTTTTAATAATTTAATTTTAATAAATTATCAAACATCACGAATATATTTTCTTAAAAACTTTTTTTGGATAAGTAAATTATATCATCCAAAAAGAGTACAGCAAAGCTGTGACAAGAACAAGACAAAATCAGCACTAGATCAGCCCCCAATTTATACCCACTTGCCTATTTACATCATCAATCTCCTGTAAACTATAGCTATACAATTTGATTTTTACAGCATCTTTAATACTACTTACAATCATATCAGCAGAACGCGAAACACCCCTAAAGCTTCTATGGTTACACTCCTCCCAAATGTAATACAAAAAACCAGTCCAGCCAAGCTTAAGAATCCTCACCCTGAGAGATTTGCCCTTCAAGTTTACAATCAACCATTGAAGGCAATCGTCCCAATTAAGCGAAGCAGGACGAATCCCACAGGAGATTAGCACAGCATCCCAAACTTCTTGAGCAAAGAAGCAATCAGCAAAGAGATGGTCCCGGGACTCAATCCCAGACCCACACAGGACACATCCATGATCCAAGACCAGACCGAACCTAATCAGCCTATCTCTCGTAGGCAGTCTATCAAGGGTGGCCATCCAGGCAATAAGGGAGAATTTTGGAATATGAGCAGGGAACCAAATGATCCTGTGCCAAGTAACTTTCGCTGCACGAACTCTGATCTGATCCCAAAGCCATTTACCCTTAATCAGGCTCCAATTAGTACAAGGAATAAACAAGTTCCTAGCTTCCTCACGAAGTTTCAACAGCTTTTTTAACAACCAGCTGAAATAGGCTTTGTACTCAACTTCCCAGAAGCTTACAGCTTTAAGACAGTATGCATGTAACCATGCAATCCAGAGAGAACCATCATTTGCAAGAATTTTTTTAATGAGCAAAAGGCAGCAAGCCTTATTCCAAAGAACAAGACTTCTTAGACCCAGACCCCCCTCAGACCTAGGTGAGCAGATTTGGCTCCAACTTACACGAGCACCTCTGGCAGGGACATCACAACCTTTCCAGAAAAAACGCATGCAAAGCCTCTCAACATCATTGATAATCCCCTTGGGAAGAACCAGCTGCCTGCTCCAGAAGTTAAAGATACTGAACAAGACGGTTTTACCAACTGCAGCCTGCCCCCAAAACTGAGCTTTTACTAGACCATTGAGCCAGTTTACCTTTAATACGTTCCAAGAGAGCAGAACAGTCCTTCCCCGTGAGTTTACGAGTAACAAGAGGAACTCCAAGATACCTGACAGGGAACTGCGCAGTCTTAAACCCAGTAGCTTGCTGGATCAGACCAAGAGTGTTAATGTTTAAGCCACAGGCAAAAATTCTGTCTTCAAAACATTTAGCTTTAATCCTGACAGTTCGTAGAAAACCTCTAAAGTGCTCAGCACTCCCATCACAGACTCAAGAGAGCCATGGCAAAAAACTAACAGATCATCCGCGAAGCAAAGGTGAGTGAGAGAGACTCTCTTGCATTTGGGATGTAATCTAAAAATTCCTCTCTTGGCAGCAGCATTCAACAGGGAGGATAGGACATTCATTACAATAACAAAAAGGTAAGGGGATAGAGGATCCCCTTGCCTAATCCCCCTAGCCCCTTTAAAGTACCCTACTAAACTACCATTCAAGCAAACAGAGTACATAGGGGTGGTAATACAAGCCTTGATCCAATTGCAAAACACATCAGGCAGCCCCATTGCCTCCAGAATAGACAGCAAAAAATTCCAGTTAACAGAATCAAAAGCCTTTTGCAAATCAATCTTTACAGTACATCTAGGAGAAAGGTTTTTCCTAGAATATCCCTTCACAATTTCCTGAGCTAACAGGGTATTATCAACTATGTTTCTACCCTTGACAAAAGCTGATTGATTGTATGAAATCAGACCAGAGAAATAAGGAGTAAGTCTATCAACAAGAATTCTGGTGATAGTTTTGTACACAACTGAGCAGCAAGAAATAGGCCTAAAATCCTTGGCTAGGGTAGCATTTGGAGTTTTAGGGACCAAAACTAAGGTTGTGGAATTGAAGGAAGGCAGTAAACAGGATGTAGAGAAGAAATACCTCACAGCAGCAATGAAATCATTGTCCACAATGCTCCAGGAAGCTTTGAAGAAGCCAGCAGTGTAGCCATCAGGGCCAGGGCTTTTATCCTTCCCTTGTCTGAAGAGAGCCTCTTTGATCTCCACATCACTCACCTCCTTAGTAAGACATATATCTGCACCTTCAGGAAGACAAACATTAATCAAGTTCTTCAGATCTTTAGCAGGGCAGCCTTTAACTGAGGGGTCAGGAGAGCCAATGAGGTTAGTAAAAAAACCCACTAACTCAGTAGCCATATCTTTAAAAGAATCAAACACCTGCCCATCCTCGCTTTTAATAACTCTGATAGTGTTCCTCTTTTTGTTAGCCTGAACCTTCTGATGAAAGAACTTTGTATTCAAGTCCCCCTCACTAAGCCAATGAGCTTTGGCTTTCTGTCTATAGAAGGCAGCTTCAGCAGTTTCCAAATCCACAAGTTCAGAATGAACCCTATTCTCATCATCAATCCTTCTTAGAGCTGTGTGAGTCAGATTAAAAGTTTGGATATGCTCCAATTCAGACCTTTTATCTTTGACTCTACCAGAAATGTCAGAGAAAAACTCATTGTTAAGCTCCTTGAGTAATGGCTTAAGCCTCCTCAGCTTATTGAAAAAACAACACATAGCAGAGCCTCCACAATGTCTCTACCAGGAGTCTCTAACAGTGATCAGGAACCTATCATGGCCAATCCAACAATTAAAGAACTTAAAAGGCTTTGGGTGCATGGTCATTGTTGCCTTATGTGACCACAACAAGCCTAAACAATGGTCAGAAACCCCCTGGGCTTTATATTCAACAAAAGAGTCTGGGAAATCCAATAACCATTGATCATTGACTAAAATTCTGTCAAGCTTGCGGGCCAAGAAAGAGTCATCCTGCTTGTTGGACCAGGTGAATAAAGGCCCAAGAAAAGGATGATCAATAAGGTCTAGGCTCTCCAAACACTCCTGGAAATCCTTCATATCAGGGTGCAGTGGACTCCCATGACATCAAAGTCAGAACTCTCCTCAGCTTTGGCAATGATGTTAAAGTCCCCACCCACCAGCCAGGAGGAAGGACCAATGTCTTTATCAACAGCACCAAGATAAGACCAAAGACCCCGTCTAAGAACACCATGGTTGCTACCATAGACATCAGTAATGGCAGTCTTATGCCCATCAACAACCCCAACAATAGTTATAGCTTGATCACAACAATTCAAAACATTGAACAGCAAATGCTTCCTCCAAAAGATCCAAAGCCTGCCTCCCTCAACAAAGTCATAGTTCTCAGCATAATTCCAGTCACCAGCCAATGCATTAGAAAACCTATCAGAGTTAACTCTTTTAATGCGAGATTCCATCACACAGAAGACATCCACACCACAAGCATCAAATCTTCTAAGCACCTTCAATTGCTTAAGGGGGTTATTAATCCCCCTAACATTCCAAAAAGCAACCAACATTCAAGCTGGAAAAGATTGAGCACTATTGCCAGTGCCCGGAACACCCATCGTACACCTAGATTTCTCAAGATGATCTTTTTTCTTAGATTTGATCTCGTTAAGCAACATTGCCACACCCATAGAAGCTACTCGGGCTTTCCTAGGACCCTCAACCACAGTCTCCATTTTACTGGAAGAACCAACAGCCTCTTTTTTCCTTCCCTTAGTCCTCTTTCTCAAGGAGTCTTGGAGGGAAGGGAAATCCACAGAATGAACCACTTCCTGTAACTGGCTCAAACTACCCTCAGTAGCATGGCCCTTATCCTGTTCACAAGGGTCAATCACCGTCCGGGGCACCGTACTCAACAAATCAGCAGCAGGAAACTGTGAGGAGGTAACACTGGCTTCCTTCAAAAAAGGCACAGTAGCCTCCTGCAATACAAGTACTGTTGTCTCAACAGCTGCACCAACTTGCAGACCATTCACCATTTCTTCTGCATTGTTATTTAGATTTCCAGAGAAAGAATCTGTCATCCCCTTGGAACTGCTGACTGATCCAACAATCCCCGTAGAAACCCCTGGTAAGTCCCCCTTACTTACAGGCATCATAACATCCTTTTTCCTCCAAACCTGGACCTCTTTGAGCTTTTGAGGAACTTGTCTATCCACATAACAAGAATTAACGTGGTGTCCAAATGATTTGCATTTATCATAACACTTGGGCATCCAAGGCACATGCACTTTAATACTAACAGAGGAACCATCACTAACAATAACATGAATAATATCAGGAATGACAACCCCTGCTTCAACCTCCACACAAACCTTGGCAAATTCGAGCCTATTCTTTGAAGCTGCAACCGAGTCCATAAACAGAGGGTTACCTAAGGCACTCGCTATGTAACTCAAACCCTTTTGAGAATAGAGCTCTAAAGGAACATTATAAAGCTGGATCCAAATTGGCATAAAGGAGAGATCAAAACTAAGTTTCTGCATACCAGGAACCCAATTCCTTAAAACCAGTGGCTTGTTCTGGACATGCCAAGCTCCATTATCTAGAACCCAGTCCCTCAGGCCAGCATCCAAGAACGAAAACACATAAAGATTAGGGCCAGCGATACTGACCTTAACTTGCGAAGAGTTCCCCCAAATTGATTCAATGATTCGCTTCATAGATCCGAAGCTCGGGGCTGAACCAATGAATTGCCTAACAAGAGCACTATTCCAATCAGCTATACCTTCAGCAATTACCTCAGCCGGAGGTATAACAGTGGCCACTCCATCACGCATCTCAGGGGGAAAAAAGTCGAGGGACTGCTCCTTCGATCCCACGAAGAGCTTCTTCCAATCGAGGCTCAATGACCGCGACTCCATACAGCAACAAGAAGAAAACCTAGAAATCTCACTGGTGTTGGGCGGACAGAAAGTAACGGTGTAAAATGATATTTTTCTTAAAAAACTTATATAGGTAAATACGGACGATAATTGATGACAACATAAACGTAATATTAAAAAAAATGATATCTACATAAGAGGTTGATGCATATTCTTTTAACATATATTTAAAAATGATAATAAACAAAATAACTGTCCTTTTATTATAAAAAAAAAAGATAAAAACAAATAGAATAGTAGTTATTTAACATCACCATCATTATAATGTTTAAAGATATCACTGCCTTTTATTAAATGAAAATACAATATTATTTATACCTTTTTCATGTGGAATCTATAACATAGACTGGATGTTTTTAATTCTTTTTTAAAAATAATTATTTTCTTTTTGAAAAAGAAGCAACGAGAATCGCATTGAGTAAAATTGCATAATCTCGTGATAGTGACTTTAGAAAATTAAATAAATAAAAATCGTAAATGCGTCATAAATCGTAGAAAGGCAGCTAATATTAAAACCATTGATTTGTCAAAAAATATATTAAAATGGAGAAAAGGGAAAATGCTTTGAAGAGTGATAGAAATTTCCAGATCAACTGATTTAAAATAATATAACATTTGATAGTTTCCTTTAAATTAGAAAGAGGTTTAAAACGAAGAATCTTGATGTGTTGTATATTTGGTTTTTAATTGGAAAGGGAAGTGCAATAGTAGCAGTGGCAAAAGTGGAATAACTACTAGATGCCTCCATCTTTAATTTCATATAACGAGTAACAAATAATTACAATAACATTTTTTATCAAAATTAAAACAGTGAAATTACAACCTTTCCATAGTGAAAAACAATTTGCCCTACTTTAAGGATGCATTTGATTCACGTAATATAATATTGTTTTTAAGAATACATTTTCAAAATGTAATATTAATTGACATATTCTTAGGAATATTATATTATCTTATTTAATTTATTTAACATGAATATATATCGTGTTTGATTTGTAGAATATTGAAAATATATAAGGCGAAAACTCCAAAAGGGACATTCTAAGTATAAAAGAAGAAAAAAATGAAAAAAAAGAGTAAAAATGAAATAAGGCTATAAGATAAAAATCCGCAAAGGACGTTTTGAAACCAAATGAGATTTCAAGTTGAAAACCTGAAAGAGCGACTTGAGTTACGATTCAGGATTCACGCATGAGGAGGTCATGAGTTAAGATGTCATCAATTATGGGTACTGATCGGGGGAAAAAAGTTGAATGTGATTGCAATTCAATTATGGCATTCGAATTCTTAGAAAACTCGTTAGTTTGGAAAGAATTTCACACCCTTCATGTATTGTCACAACCTTCCAGATCCCCTCGACATAAACCACACTCGAGTCATTTTGGGACGTGTCAATTCAAAGTTCATACTCTTGTTATTTGAGACACCTATTTGTTTGTCATAGTTTTTCATTTTATATGTTGATCGTATACTTGTCAAAGACTCCTTTCGTTTATATGAATAAAATCTAAGTCATTTATTTGTTAGCCCTCTCTTTTAACTTACAACTTTCATCGTGGCTTTCCCAAATATTAAACAATCATCCGTCAATAAAAGATTAGTAATAACAATAGCAGGAGAATATCTATTAATCTTGACTCTTTGTAGGCTCCCAAAATTACGAGTTGGCGGGATAATCATTCTCTATAAATGAAGAATAAATAAGGATTGAGATGGTCACCTTGGTGTAAGTTTCTTTAAGGAGGAGATTGAATCACCCATAACACCGTTAAAGATAACCGAGTAAGAAATTGTACTCACATCTCTTTTGATCATTTCAATCCAAGCTCTTGAGAATCTCATATTTCCATAATTTTTCACACAAAAGATCATTCGCCTCTATCATAAACTTTGTTCATATTATCCATATCTAGTTCTAGTGCAAAAAGGTCCTTAGTTTTTACCTTGGTGTTTTTTCTCTTTTTTTTTTCCCACAGAAATGTAGCAGCTCATAGGCGGGTGTATTCGGTAACTGTACTACAATAGTGGCCCCACTCTCATCATATTTTTTGAGATCACGATAAAAATAAAACAAAATAGGGTTTGTTGGAGTTGGTTATTGTTAGTTTAGGACAACTGGAATTTCAACATTTGGTTTGACGCCTGTAGTCGTTAAGTCAACAACACAGGTAAGATAAAGATGTGAACCCCACACCCACCTCTGTCTTCCTCCACTCTAACACTTGGACTCTGCCTAATATGAAATTCAAAAACCCACCACTAATCAATCATCCAAATGATAATAACAAAAATAAAATGTATTTAATTTTTTAAAAAAAAGAACATAATCATCGTTGTTTTCCAGTTTCCACTCACATGTGTATGTGATTCTCCACCCAACATTCAGCTGGAGGAAGAGAATATCCCATCATAATACCATACACCAGTTCATTATAAATAATATTATAAATTTAAATACGTTCAAATTTATATTCTTTTATATGTTATAATAACGATAATTTTAACTTTTAACTAAAATTTATAATACATTTTGTTGTTTTCTTAATAAAAACAGTGATAATTCTTAGCGAATCTGATTCTACAACTAATAGAATCAAAATTCCAACGACGCAAGAAAGAGACAGCCTCCTGAATCGCATATGCTTCTGCTAAACATAACTCTGTTGCCACCTTCATCAACAAAACTTGCTGATATGGAAATTGAATCACCACTTTTTTAAAATAGTATGGATTAAATAATATTTTCATCCCTAAAATATCGTATGATTCTTTTATGATGATAAAATTGAGTAAAATAACGTGCTTCACGTTTAAAAACTTCAAAATTAAAATATTCTTCTAATATCAAAATATTAATGACTAAAATACCATTTAGCCCAGTATTCAATATCCAAAATTTGGGTTACGTGTTGGATTCTGACTAGAAGCATTATATTAGAATAATTTTATGATAATTTAAAACTTTATCCTAAAAATAAAGATGTTAATTCCATCCAAAGACCGGAATTCAACTGCCGAACGCGGTTATAGACCTCATCCTATTGTGAAAAGTGAAAGGCGTGGCACCGGCTTTTTCAAACTTGCACCGTCCAATGCTTTTATGATTTAGTCAAGTCCCCCCTTCATTTATTATTCCTGGAGAGTTTGCTACACCTGTTTGGCTACCTCATTTCCTTTTCTTTACTCTGAAAATTTAAATTTTTATATATTTAAATTCTATATGTATTTTTTATTAAAATTTTATTTTTTCTCTTGAAATTTTATAAATTTATATCCTCTTAAAATTTAGAGGTTTGTTTTCTCGAGATAAAATCATATGTTTGTACATGTATCTTAACCATCCCAGAAGCCTACAATTTAGAAGAGACTGTATATAATTCTAGGGAAAAATATTTATTCTTTGGTACAGCAAGCAAAAGTTCATCCCTTGATTTAAACAGAAAATACAAATAATAGTATTAATTTTGTTGACGATAAACTTTGAGTTGTAATGATTTTGGATGGGTCATTTTTTCATTAAATAAAAAGTTATAAGCAATGATTATGTAGAGAGTAGTAAGTTAAAAATGATAAATAGTACGAATATGAGGGAGGATTAATCTACTTTTTCTCCCCTATCTTAGATTATTATGTGAGGGTTTATATGCTGATCGTGAGTGCTAATGTAAGGCCTATGATTATGATGATTATTAGTGGATTGGAAGAGTAAATAAATATGATTATCCAGTAATAGATGTACTCCTATCTTATCTCATGGATTTTCCTGGAGTTTTATTAAGAGATTTTGGTAGACCAAAGGATATAAAACTTTAGAAATTTTAATCAACAGAATATTTTTTCTAAAAACTTCAATAACTGAAAGAATAATTACAGATTATGGCTCGCAGAAAAATTCTTCTAAATCTACAACAAATTTATATAAAAATATAAAAACAAAAGTGAATATTTTCGATAAAATAATTGTACCTCGCGTTCAATTAATAAATTTACTCTCAATAAAAATATAGCGCACGTACTGAAAATTCAATAAATAATATTATTAAATAAATAACTCCTGAAAATTTGGAGGTTAAAATTTGTTATCTTATAGGATAAGAATTACGATTTTTTTTAGATTTTAATAAATAATATTTGAATAACACAGTATAAGCTAGATAAAATGTAATATCTATTCAAAAATTCCCAACTATCTTAATACTGAACGCTCATATTCTTGCATATATGGTATTTGGATCCGAGACCTCAAGGATCAATAACAATTCCTTATTACTGAAATCGTTTGGTTCATACCAATCAATATAATTTTTTTATGGTAAACAAAATAATTCATTTAGTCACTCAGGGATTAAAATTAGCTTAGTCGGGCCTTGGGCTAATTTGGAAGATGCGATAAAAGGGGCTTTGGACTAAATTGAAGTTAATTCGAAATTGAGTAGTTAAAACTTTTAAGGACTAAGTTGAATAAGGAAAAGAAGGATTTTGATTTATGTCGCAATTATCCCAAAGATTTATTAGCCATTAACCCTAAAGCTATTTGAACGAATTCAAGTTCTCTCTTTTGCCTATTGCCACCGTTCAATAATCCAAAGTGGGACGAGCACAAAGGTCTCCAGGTGTTCCTCGAGCATTAAATTTAACGTGGAAGGGGCGTTTAACCCCGCCACCGGTGTTGCTGCTTTCGGGCTTGTTGTACGTAACCACCATGGTATGGTTGTCGGGGGTCTTGTTACGTAGGCTGGAAGGGACCCACACATCCGAATCGGTCGAGGCTTGTAGTT